TTCATTGATATTTTGTTTATAATAATATTATTATATAATAAATATAATATATTATAATATAATAAATATAATAATATTTGAAACTCAAAGTTAGAATATTTCTATCTTTCAGAGAAATGTTGGGAAAGAAATTTAATTCCGTCCAAAGCTACAACAAAAGTTACTTGAAATTTTCGAGCGGTAGTAATGGAGAATCACCTTGTCGCACGCAGAGCATTCGCAAAATGCTCCGTTGTATCCATCGTCGCAGAAACACTCTCCGCAAACACAGTCACCTCTGTCGGAGCAAATTTTCGTCGAGCTGTCTTGGATACACTGTTGCACGTTGTTTATCGGTGAACTTTCATCGCAGTCGCATGTTTCGCCTGCGAATGTTGTCAATATTGAACAGTCCTATTGCGAAGGAAAGACGAAGAAAGACTTCTTACCGGACCAACCAGAATCGCATTTGCATGAACCGCACTCGTTCGTTCCATGCTGACAATGAAAATCTTCGGTATCCTTGCAGTTGCAACCACATAGTAACTCGACGTCGATTATTACATTCGACAGCTGAGAAGCCAGTGCGTCCTCGATCACAACTGTTTGTTTCTGACAGAAGTATGAAGTTAGAGGCTAAATCGTAGTGGTCGATATAAGCGAAGACAGAAAGATTCTGCGACTTAACGTCAAGTGAATAACTGAGAATAACAAAGTTGCATTGGAGCATTTTTTTTTTTTTAGAAAATCTATACGCAGTTTGGAAACTAGTTTCACTAGTACTACGAGTTTTATTTCTGTTAATATTCATGGCTTAGATGTACATACCCGTAACTCTTTATCCTTTGGACACTTATTGAAAGATAGAACGGCCTTGAATTCGTATACTTTTCCCTCCTTTATGTCGTCGCATTCCGAAGTATTCCATTCTGAAATGTTTTCCTCGTTGCAGTTGGAAAAATATTGTATTTTCAACGGGCTGGAAGAATTGTCACGCAAGATCACTTTCGAGGTAATCTGATGGTAAGCACTCTTAATGATCTCCAAGATATTCGAGCTGTCGTTGCTCAAGGTTGCGACCCTTGCCTTCTCCTTCAGCAATTTCGTTGCCTCTTCGTATTCATTACGACGATCTCCCGTGACGGCGAATATTAAATTGATCTTATGCTCCTGCAATAACCTTGACAATTCTGCCAGCGAGGAATAATCAAATTCCGTAGATACCGAGTATTGTCCACGTTCATTGAGATGACACTTGAAGTCCTGACGCTTTACAGCACCGCCCAGCTGATTGCGACACGAAGACACTCGTATGAGGCATCATAAAATTTAGGTAATTATACAAAAAAGAGCACGCTTCATCGATTCCATAAACGTTCAATATGAATATATTCATAAATTATGTAAATTGCTTTTTCTTAATATTGTGGCAACTGTATATGTAATGTACATGCGGTAGTATATTACATACATGTACATGTATATTAATTATGTGATTCCAATTAATGTTGGTGGTTATATGAAATTTCATATAAATTGTAATCATTTCTTTTTTCTTTAACACTTGATCAAATTTAATATAATATAAATCCAAAAGATTATTTAAAATTCAAATCTGATCCAAGATTCTTTGTATGTCCCAAAAATTAAAGTAAATCTTCAACAATCAATAGGATAGAAATACGTATGTTTATAAATTATAATTATATATAATAATAATTTCATTTATGTTTATATAGTAATAATAAAGTAATTATATACTAATTAAGTATATGTTGGTGGTATAAAATTTCATATAAATTGTAATTAGTTTTTTTTCTTTAACACTTAATCAAATTTAATATAATATAAATCCAAAGTTTAAAATTCAAATCTGATGCAAGATTCTTTGTATGTCCCAAAAATTAAAGTAAATCTTCAACAACAAATAGGTAGAAATACGTATGTTTTTATAAATTAATTATAATTATATATAATAATAATTTCATTTATGTTTGTATAATAATAATAAAGTAATTATATACTAATTAAGTATAGTAATTGTATAGCATTTATATGTAGCAATAATGTATAGTATATGAACATTTCAAGTAACGAATGGCGCAAGTCCAAAATTAGGAAAAAATGAGTTTATTATAGAAATAACAGCTATTAAAAAATACTTACTGATTTAATTGGCATATATAAGAATCAATTTTTACATCGTAATCATCTTACCATTTTTTCATTATCTCATCATTAGTTTACTATTGAAAAAAAAAAATGTATATTTCTAAATTATATCATCATAATTACTATTCTTTCACTTTATTTCCTTACAATACAGTTGCTATTCTATTCCTATTCTTTGTTACAGAGAATTACGTGAAAGTTTAATTTTGACAGCATTGAAATGGACTTGATTCACTTGTCAATCAGAAAATATACGTAATATGTTACTAACAATGCTGAGTCTGGCAAAACATGTCCAACATCGATCAAAATGGCGAGACGTGGTCTTTTCTGTATAACGTCCCGGAATTTCTGTTCACTGAATGATCATTTTGTTGTATTACCTTGCCATCGCCGGCAAAATGTAAGTGTCCATCGGTGGCCACTAGAATAATTTTTCGCGCTTGGTGCTGCCAGTCAATTTCTTTGGTGCAAACGATCGTTTGCACGAGCCCGTCCAACGCTCCTTCCAAATTGTCCACGTTCCCGGTAACTTGGCTATTATTCACCTGAAATTCAATAATCATTCATTTAATCCGCTGCGCTACGAATTTCCTTCCAGATGAATCTCGTACTTCTACGATGAATCGGTGAACGTCGTTAGTCAGCTTCAAGCGATGCCAATAGGCATAAATGGGAGAGCATTCGGCGTGCTCGCTCTTGCAAGGGTTCTCCTCGTGTCCTGGGAAGACGTACGGCATCACAGGTTTGTCAGCGTAGCTGCCGAAACCCAGGCGAAAGTGACTGGTGATGCTGCCGAACGTTTGACTCATGTTCCATCCTAAGCTGACCAAGGTCTCCTTGTCGTCCTTCATCGACCAGGTCGAGTCCATGAGATAGTACAAATCTAGCGGGTAATTTCTAAATCATTTTGAATCTCGTTAGATCTAATCTCGAACGTGTTCGCTTGTAAAGTCCGTAAGATCGGTAAATCAAGTCCTGTCCAGTGAATGAATGCTGCTCGTGTCGCATAAAATACCACGTTCTCACGTTTGAAATTTATGCTGTAGTTCTAACATTTTTATTACAAAAAAAAAGCGTGGAACTAGCACGGTGTTACATTATATTTATTCAATAGTCGTCCTCGTGATAAATTCAAGGTAAATCTCGATATGTACGATTTGCATTTTGCACACAACTAACAAAGAAGCAATTAAAAAATCTGATATTGTATCAAACTTGTTGGAAACTTAATGGTCAACTAACATTCCTGACTCAAACTTTTGCTTAGCAAGAAGTTGCTAACTCCTTTTTACACCAGGTGGAAGATTACATTTTGATTACAATCGTTAAATATATGTTCCGGAATTGTATGACATTACAAATAGCTCGTTTCACGCACATAAAAGCGATTAAACAATTTAATTAATAATAATTCAGAGAATTAAAGGAATTAAATAATTTATTCAATAGACAGGTCTTCCTACCTATCTATTAACGTCGTTGGATAGAAAACAATTTTATATCGATTACAGTGAAATTAATGCTTGTTAATTGTTTTAGTCACTTTGTTCGTGTTATTGTATATACGAACGTACTTGGCCAGTCGATAACGGATCGAAATTGTTATCTCGGAGTTAGGCGGAATCTTCACTGCTACTCTTTGCGGCCGCAGTTGTATCGGCGCTCGTTCCGGCTCCATGTCCTGAAAGTTCGAATCCTCCAGGAACTTGCTCGACCCTGGCGAGGGAGTACGAATCTCTCTGGGCGGGCAACCGAACTGTTTCAGTCTCTCCGGCGAGTTGCACCGCGGTCTCCCGACCGTCACATTCGAATAGGACTGAAAGCGTGAAATAGAGAACTCAAATTTCGTGTCCGAAGGATGGCACGTTGAGACAATTACCCAGTCACTACACCAGGCACAAGAAGGATCAGCTTGCAGGCAAGTTTCACAGGTGTTCCGAGAGATGCACGATCTCAAAATTTTCGCTTCTTGAGTATCAGATTCTCTCCATTCGCGGCACAGGAGGATCATCACGAACAGCAAACCGTGGATTCTCATCGTAACCGGTGACGACAGAATACCAAATGAAGGTCAACATCTAACAAAAATGAACGACCTTTATCTTCCTTTTTTCCTCGAAGAGAACCGCCGGTTCATGGAACGTTTCTCTATTTCCTCCTGCTATGATTTTCGCAATAATAGGAGCGAATGGTAGAGGTAGCTCGCGTAATCGACACGACTGAAGCCTCAATGTGAGTTATTTACACTATGATAGCGAAGTGCGGCATCGTCGGATAGAGAGAAAGAGAGAGAGAGAGAGAGAAAAAAGAGGAGGTAAAAATTACGTCAATTCGATATCGTTTCGCAGTAGTAGCTTTATCTTGCAGATAAATCCGTACCCGTATTGCTGATCAACATTGGTGATAACAAGTATCAGTAAGATCAGCTAATATTGATTCATTGAT